ACATGTCTGTGCTCATAATGTCTCCCAAGGTCAATCACCAAGTGAGAAATTGGAGTCAATTAGTTATTCACCTATTCAAGGGCTTAATTCACATGTCCTTGTTTGAGTTTAAAGGATAGATAGATATATATTAATGATTTGTGAGGATCATTATTAGATCTGGCAATTAAACAATCCTACTCATTTCAATATCCTCATTTACATAATGAGTTTAGTATACCGTATAAACTGTATAATGTTATTGAGTAGGTTTGTAGAGTATAATAATATCTCATGTTATAGGAGATCCAATTATACATTCTATATTCTACCTAAGAAATTTATTTGTTATCAGAAGGGGCGCGAGACTGGTAGGTCTTGGGTTCGAATCTCATGAGGCGAGCTCGTGAGTGCCCACTGCCACTGAGGAGTCTCACAATAGGACGAAACGGTGGTCCAGTGCTTCCAGGTTTTCCTTGGTAGTCTAGCTTCAATTGACTGATGCTTTCAACAATGAAAATTTATTTATGTTTTCCCTTGTTAGTGTGACGAAATAATTCAAATCAAACTTCTATGATGAATACAAGAAAGGTTAAAGTTAAATCAATAGTTCAAACTTGATTGTTACCATTTGGAACCATTCAACATACATAGAGAAAGACAAATCCGTTTAGAAATCTATGTAAATACTGATAAGTACTTCATGTAGTCGGTATCTTATTGAACATGTCTGATGATGTATGTATCGACTCTAACACTGTGTTTAATTTAAATAACCATGATAGACCAAGTATATAAACAGTTAGACTATTGGAATACTAACCGATCAGTCTGCTTTTAGACTAGAATCCTTCTACGAGCAGTTTAGAAGGTGAGTTTAATTCAAGGTTTGGCAATTAAGGAATTTTGTTTGTATGGTAATACACAATCTTACGACACTGGAAACAATTAAGAAAGATATCGAGATGAATACTAGCTATGTAATCTATCGAAAGTTAACTGAAAGCGGACTATTTGAGTGAGTTTTTTGGAGATTGGTTTGATTTATAGGTTGTATTAGTCACAGGTCAATCTCTGTATGTGTACCACTGAAGACAAGAAAGTACTGGATAGCTGTTTCGCCTTTCTAGTGAGCACCCATGACCTTTTCAAGAATCAAACCATGAACATTCTGGTCATATTGAGAAGGTTTAACCATTAGAATCACTGTCTTGGTTTCCAGTGATCTGATTTCAACTCAATCAATTTATGACATGACTTGATGATTATCTAGTGCGACTGTTGAGAACTATCACAGACTCGACATATTTGAACTCCATCAATCAGGACTTCAGTAAAGCTAAGAATATTACTAACAAATCTAACCAATCTCCATAAAATCCGACCAACTAAACTATGATGGTCAGTTAACTATTGGATTACTTTATGATATTTCCAAAGTTCTAAAGAGAAACTGTTACTACTGAGGTACTAACATGTCGACAGTGAAATATTTTACTAGAATGGCACTAGAAAACATCGAGCTCTATTGCAAATAAGTTGAGTTGAAAGTGTATCAGTGAATACTGAATCAGTATGTCTCATAGTAGGGACTTATATTTAGGCTTTGGAGATCCTGGGTTCGATCCCTGACAGGTTTCTCGGTGGTATTGATAAGAAACCCCATTCAACAAGGAAACAGTAATTCAGTGCATTTCTATAGTTTTCAATGGTACATCAACTAAGATCATTCTATGATTAATATTGAAAGATGAATAGAGTAAAGTAATCTGGCAGAATATTGATTCAACTAGAATTTTCCCTGATGTAATCATCGACTGAAGCTTAAGGGAAGATCAAAAGTATACACTTACTGTTCAAAACAATCACTGAAAGGTAAATGCATCTCAAACTACTAGTGGTAATCTGTATAATGTAAAACGTCGGATTCACATCCAAGCCAAAATACTTATAAGACAAAAAGTTTATCTCTAATTAACTGTTCATCAAATTGCCTATTGCTTCATATAATCGGTTACGGAGGTACATTATTTGCACAAAAAACCAATGTTATTTACTAAGTGGATATAAATTGGTCCAGAAATATCAGACAATACAATTGATAACAATGAATATAACTCTGCCTAAAGCTCCTCCGAGGGGATAATGCCGGTCCCAAGCCCGGATAAAGGAGGAGGATTGGGCATAGGGTTAGCGACCCCATACCATAGAAAACCAACTTGCTAAAAAAAATGCTAACCAGAAAAAAATTATGCATATCAGATTGCCCATCAAAATTCTACGATACGTTTCATCACACAAACATCATGATTTACTCTGACAACAGAACACAAGTCCATTTAACTATATTATGAGTATTCGACTATTATTTCAATCTACATTGAACAAAATCAACCAAAGTTGATCATCATAACACTACCGTACACCGAATGCGATCAGTTACTTCACATTATCATACAAATCACAATGATTAATCTATAGATATAAGGTAGCATAACATTTATGAGAAGAGGAGGAAGAAGAAGACTTTGCATCAACTCTTTTTCATCTCTTTACATGACTAAGTTGAATCAGTGTGAAGTGTCTGTGTATGATCCAGAAATTCTATTGGTGAATGTTTCATCATCAACAAAGAGTAAAATCAGGAGTTCACAAAATCACCTAATACAGTGAATAGTCATATGAATTCACTTGAAACGTGGTTCATGATCAATGTTGAATGAATATTGTGTAGTTTGCATAATACATTCATTCACATTAGGTCAACAACCATAGAAGTGCAAGGAACACTTGATAGTCGTTTTGTACTAGTGTCCACGATTCATCAACTGTACACAAACACAGATTCACCAACACACACACAAACACAAATATCAATTATCAACATTCACGATGTCAGTGATTATGCTCTCGATCTGAGTGAATAACCAATCCACAACATCAACAACAACAACAAAACCTCATCATACATTCCAACATTAAATACACAGAAACACACATAGATAACTCCTCCGAAAATGCAGTACCATTTACATGAAACATACTAATGAACAAGTCACTTGAAAGTCAAAATCATTATTGACATATCGGACAAAATGATGAACCACCTCATACATTCACTTATCAATCTACCACAAAATCACCAACATCACATCATTCTACAACTAAAACATCTTACATCAAACTCCCATCAGAATACTTGCAAATTTCTGTACACAATGCATATCACTTATATTCCAATCTCCATCTATTCCATTACTCACATTCTAACAGAAATCAATTGACTTGGTGTCACTATCACCATTCTCATTGTTAGCTTATTGCATCGAATTCAGTATTGTCAACTAACTCACTCCTCACACAGAAGATGACTGATATATGTGGGAGTGTGATTTCTATCATCGATTCCATTTCAACAATGTAGAATGATCGTTGTCTGTAGTGTCTGTTGTGAATACTTCAGTTTACAGGAGCACAACATACTCAATCAAATAACACAAATATGTTGAAAGTGATGTAATGAATTGAAATCTCTAGTGAAACTACACTCATATGCATCTACTCATCCATTCAATGAAAAAATAAGCCGTTAAAAAGTGAACACGTTGTGGATGGATCTACAAATCAACTAACTACCAATAACCATGTTCGAAAACTCTCAATATAATTGCACCGAAATGATCGGTCATTCAATCGGAGTCATTTCCAATTATGAAAATGAGAGTGACTATTAACACTGTTTCTTTATGCTGATATAATTGATAAAGTGTGTGTGAATGGAGATGAGTATGATTGATGAAATACATCAGTGTTGGTGTATTGTAATCAAAATGATGCTCTCAGTAGTGAGTGAATTCAAGACGTTTTGTAACCGATGTCTAATTAGTGAGTAAAAACTGATGGTGTTCTTTTATGTCATGAGTAAAACAGTTTTAGCAAAATTTTTCCTCACTAAGTTTAACAATATAATGTTGAAATGATTGAAATGGAATGACTAGACTCTATTGTTGAATGTCTTTCATTGGAGTTTTGACTAGGCTATCGTGAGGACGGCCTACGGGGGAAAAAACTGAAGGTATTCCATTCAATTATTTTTAAACAACATTCCAACATCTCGACGTGTAGCTTTCCGATTAGAGAAATGCTAAAATTTACTGCACGTGGATTTAATGACTGTAATGATGATTGCCTTTCTACTAAAATCAACAAATACCTGAAATTTTTGTACCATATTTGATACTGGAATAACATTCCTTCTCATTCGTCTTTCACTTTCTCTTTTGCAATTCAGGATATTCTAGCATTCGAGTGCTCAAGTAGTACATGGAATAAAAAGTATATAATCTATAGATATAACAATAATCTGAACAGTAACACTATTAGTCATACCTGATGAGTACATAGTAGACTAGATAAACATTAAACTATATATCAGAAGTGGTTTTCTGTGGAGATTTGGTATTCTCATAGTTGAAAGCGTAAATCGGTTGAAGCTAGACCACCAGGGAAAGTCTGGAAGCAGTGGATGGCCGTTTTGTCCTAAAGTGGGACTTCTCAGCAGTGCGCATCCACGACCTCGTCCCGCGAGATTCAAACACAGGACCTACCAGTCTCGCGTCAGAGCACTCAACCGATAGACCATTGAGTCGGCAACTGATGGTGTTTATGTCTAACTTCAACCAATCCACGAAGTTGAGCGACCGTTCACCAATTGTCTTCAGTGAGTTGATATCTCACAACAGACGTTGTATGAACTCCACTGGTCACTGCTTCTCACTAGAACTCCTGCATTTACCTCTCGAAGTCAGTCACTAGTGAGTATATGATTATTATTAGGCGAGGTCGTGGATGCACACTGCCACTGAGGAGTCACACAATAGGACGAAACGGCCGTCCACTGCTTCCAGGTTTTCCCTTGTGGTCTAGCTTCAATTGACTCACGCTTTTAACTATTAAACTATTTACTAATCAGTGATCAATGAGCATAATTTTAAAATTTTCAACTAAAATCTATCACTTACACTTAATAAATCTTTTTCTGAAAGAATCTCATTACTATCTGAACTATTTTTGATGTTTTGTTTTCCTACTGCTGCTGTTGTTAATACTAATCCACCTTTATGATCATTTGAATTAATTCCGTTTTTTAGTTTTTTATTCACACTCTTCTTTTCTATCACTTTCATTTCTTCTTCATCAAGATCCTCATCATCATCATCATCATTATAATCATCCTCCTTCTCATCATCACCATCTTCATAATGATGTGTAATTGATTCTTGTGATTCATTTGTTATAGAATAGAAAGATGAAATTTCAACAATATCTTGAAATGTTACTTGTTTCTCTGTTTTCTTCATTGAATTTGGTAAATTTACTGGAAATGATTCATCAATTAATGCATTATGTAATTCATCATGATTATTGTTAATATTCATGATATTCTCATTATATTCTATATCAATTGAAGCTTCATAACTAGTCATTAAATCTTCATCAATAGTTGTATGTGAATTAGTATCATAAGTATGATGATGATTACCATCTCGTTCACTCTGATCATCGTCATCATCCTCAACATTGTCATCATCATCAGTGTTACTTTTTGGTGTCAGTGATGGTGGTGTTGTTGTTGGTGTTGACGTTGGCGTCATTCTAGTTGTATTAGCAATTGTATCTATACTTTCATTCATTGGTGAACTTCTTGCATGATTAATCATACTCTCTGTATCATCTGAATAAATCCCATCAATGTCGGTATCACTAGTGGTAGTAGTAGTAGTACGTGAGGATTGCGATACATTATACTCACTGTTAATATGATTAGTATTCATTTCTTTCTTCCCATAAACACCTTCCTTACTTGTTGTTATGCATAGATTATTGTTGTTTAAATGTTACATTGTTTATTATGAATATAGAAGTTTCCTTTAATTTTCCTGGATAACCATCATCATCATCATTTTATGTATAGTCATGGGAATTATTAATTTTCAATGTTATAATAACTAATTCGCATTATTTATTAACCAATCAAAATTAAGTTAGATAAGTTGGCTAGACTATAATTTATATATATGAACCAATCAGAATTAAGATAATAGATTTTGGATTTTAGCGCGAAATTCAATTATCCATTTTGTTCAACAACGTTTTAACATTTAAGCTGATATCAGTTGGTGATGAAAAGCCTAAATCTGTTTCTTAATCCCAAACATCAATCGTAAATCATATTCCTCATTCTTCACACAGGTTTATAATTCTCATTTAGTTCTAGTTAGTAAGGGGACATTCCCAAGGTCATCATGGTGTCGTTAAAGGGTTGTACATAAATTATAGTCTCATTATATAGTTGAGCTCATGAGTCAATTAAAGCAAGACCAACATGGAAAACCTGTAAGCACTGCAAGGCCGTTTCGACCTATTGTGAGACTCATCAGTGGCAGTGCACATCAACGATCACGAATCGCGAGATTCGAACCCAGGATCTATCAGTCTCACGCGCAAGCGCCTAACCACTAGACGACTGAGCCGGTATCCATTGGTTTTGATGTCTAACTTCAACCAATCCATGAAATTGAGCAACCATTCACCAATGTTTTCAGTGAGTTGATATCTCCCAACAGACGTTGTATGAACCTCACTAGTTACTGTTAGTCTTTCTATTAAATTTTTATTATTAACCAATTAGAAAGTTGACTAAATTGAATTTCTATGTACAATCATTCAAATGAAATGAATTATTTGTAAGGATTTTGTATTTTCTCATTATTGATATTAGGAAGTACAGATGATCGCTCCTTGTTTGGATTTATGTACATCGCAAGTGGCGTATTTCGATATTTTCATTAAGTTAAATGTTTTTAGTAAAACTATCAGTATCATTATTTGAAGGATCGTGTAGGTAGTTGAATTTCATTGAAATTGTAACAACTTTAGTGTGCTCATTGATGACTAGCTTTGAGAGGACATTTCTTGAGTTTAAGTGTAAAGCTATGAGTAGTAGAGCTAAAGCGTGTAAAGTGTGAGGAAGTTAACCACGAAATACAATAAAAGACGGTTGTGCAATATCGTGGATTCATTGAAATTAAATATTAACACCATCAGATGACGGTTCAATGGTCCACAGACTAAGCATTCGCGCCTGAGACCGAAGGTCCTGAGATAAACTACCTTTGGAGAAGGGTCATTGATGTTCATTATTGGAGAGTCCCATACCAGGACCAAGTGGCCGTCCAGTGCTTACACGTTCTCAATGGTCGTCTAGCATAGATCGATTCACTAACTAAGTGGGAATTCTTAAGTAATTAAGTGTTTTCATACAGTAATCAAAGTTATATCAATCTATCTACTTAAAATGTACAAAAGTGGAAGTTGTATGATAACACTGAGAATATAAACTAGGAAAATGAACATATCCACTTATACCCGACAATAAATCAGCTTGGAGTGATTCATTTATCAACAATGTAAAACATCTGATATTTAAAGAATTTAGTAAACGTTACCATTTCAATAAACCATCATTTCGATTACAATACAACAACAATAACATATCTTCATAGTTGAAATCGTGAGCCAATTAAAGCTAGACCGCTGTGGAAAACCTGAAAGCAATGCACGGCCGTTTCGTCCTATTACGGGACTCCTCAGCAGTCCCATAGTAGGACGAAACGGCCGTTCAGTGCTTCCAGGTTTTGCATGGTAGTCTAGCTCCAATTGACTTATGATTTAGACTTTGAAAATATTGAAATATTTACAAAAACCCCTTCTGATCAATAATATACTTCATTAGTCATACTCATCTCCATTCACACACACTTTATCAATTATATCAGCATAAAGAAACAGTGTTAATAGTCACTCTCATTTTCATAATTGGAAATGACTCCGATTGAATGACCGATCATTTCGGTGCAATTATATTGAGAGTTTTCGAACATGGTTATTGGTAGTTAGTTGATTTGTAGATCCATCCACAACGTGTTCACTTTTTAACGGCTTATTTTTTCATTGAATGGATGAGTAGATGCATATGAGTGTAGTTTCACTAGAGATTTCAATTCATTACATCACTTTCAACATATTTGTGTTATTTGATTGAGTATGTTGTGCTCCTGTAAACTGAAGTATTCACAACAGACACTACAGACAACGATCATTCTACATTGTTGAAATGGAATCGATGATAGAAATCACACTCCCACATATATCAGTCATCTTCTGTGTGAGGAGTGAGTTAGTTGACAATACTGAATTCGATGCAATAAGCTAACAATGAGAATGGTGATAGTGACACCAAGTCAATTGATTTCTGTTAGAATGTGAGTAATGGAATAGATGGAGATTGGAATATAAGTGATATGCATTGTGTACAGAAATTTGCAAGTATTCTGATGGGAGTTTGATGTAAGATGTTTTAGTTGTAGAATGATGTGATGTTGGTGATTTTGTGGTAGATTGATAAGTGAATGTATGAGGTGGTTCATCATTTTGTCCGATATGTCAATAATGATTTTGACTTTCAAGTGACTTGTTCATTAGTATGTTTCATGTAAATGGTACTGTATTTTCGGAGGAGTTATCTATGTGTGTTTCTGTGTATTTAATGTTGGAATGTATGATGAGGTTTTGTTGTTGTTGTTGATGTTGTGGATTGGTTATTCACTCAGATCGAGAGCATAATCACTGACATCGTGAATGTTGATAATTGATATTTGTGTTTGTGTGTGTGTTGGTGAATCTGTGTTTGTGTACAGTTGATGAATCGTGGACACTAGTACAAAACGACTATCAAGTGTTCCTTGCACTTCTATGGTTGTTGACCTAATGTGAATGAATGTATTATGCAAACTACACAATATTCATTCAACATTGATTATGAACCACGTTTCAAGTGAATTCATATGACTATTCACTGTATTAGGTGATTTTGTGAACTCCTGATTTTACTCTTTGTTGATGATGAAACATTCACCAATAGAATTTGTGGATGAACAATTATACCTCAGTGGAAGTTCGCATCCACGATCTCGCTTCGCTAGATTCAAACATTAGATCTATCAGTCTCGGGCGCAAGCACTTGATCGATAGACCACTGAGTCGGCAAACAGCCAGGTACGTTGGAAGATTTCAATTCACTGAAGACATTTGTGAATGGTTGCTCAATTTCATGGATTGGTTGAAGTTAGACATTAACACCATTGGATGCCGACTCAGTGGTCTAGTGGTATAGCGCTCGCGCACGTGGCTGACAGGTCCTCGGTTCGAATCTCTGAGGCGAGATCGTGGACGTGCACTGCTGAGGAGTCCCACATCAGGACGAGACGGTCGTCCAGTGTTTTCGTGTTTTACCTGGTGGTCTGGCTTCAATTGACTCTTGATCTCAACTATATATAAATTAACATTATTATTATTAATATTATTATGAATATGATTGCTGTACTCAATATATACTTATCTTAACACATCTATATATAAACACAAGCAAACATACATACACATAAAAATGTTTGGATAAACGATTAAGATAAGCAAACGGTACGAATTTCAATCTTTCTCGTATTACGAACCCTCATTTCCAATTCTGTTCTCTTTTGCAACCTCTAATAACATTGTAAGTAAAATGGATAGTGGCTAGTAGTGGAATCCAGTTTGACGCTGTTCGTCTTATTCGGAACTCGTCAGCTGGATGTACCTGCATTTTAGACGTGTTGATGTTCACTCTGGGACTCGAGCCCAGTACTTTTCACTTCAAACGCCATTACGTTATCCACTTAGCTACTGAGTCCTGATAGCCACTTACTTGTGCAATGGGGTGAAGTTTAAATTCACTTATTATTACTTGTTTTAGTCTTCACACTGATGTTTAGGACTGTAACTGGTTAGTCTCTTATTGGCATATGTGTATACTGTGACTATTGCCTCGATATACATTGTTATTACTACTTAAATTCATCACCTCGACCATAGAAATTCACGGAGGAAACATATAACCAACTAACAAACAAACAAGAAAACCCAGTTTCTTTAAAGGAAATTGTATTCATACATGAGTATTGTTTAAATGAAATAACATGTTTTTAAGTTAATTGGCGGACAGGCAAACAAGAGCATATGAGCAAAAACTTTTGTGTCCATGTGATCAAGGATGAACATCAAATTCCCTGAACTTATTTGGGAAAAAAATTGTTATTTTGTTTTAATATTTACATATATATACATGTGTATAATGTAGTTACAGTGGGACAAACAGAGAGCGAGAGAGAGTCGACTCTCAAAAGTATAATAATTGATAAATCATTAAACTCAATAATAATTGAATGCATAAAACAGTTCCACTTTTAGAAAGGGGTTTTGTGAAGACTTTAGTAATTTTATATAGTTGAGATCATGAGTCCATTGAAGCTAGACCACCATAGAAGTCCTGGAAACACTGAACGGCCGTCTCGTCCTATTTTAGGACTCCTTAGCAGTGCGTATCCATGGTCCCATCGTTGGATACTGGCTCAGTGGTCTAGAGGTTAAGTGCTCTTGCGCGAGACTGGTAGGTCTTGGGTTCGAATCTCGGGAGGTGTGATCGTGGACGTGCACTGCCACTAAGCAGTCCCAGTGCTTCCAGGTTTTCCATGGTGATGTAGCTTCAATTGACTCATGATCTCAACTATATAAAATTACTGAAATCTCCACAAAACCCCCTTTCCGTCAATATAGATTTCCCAGTTAATTAATCTCGTAAAAAGTTTGAGATCCGTACAAAGTCAACCATGTGAGAAAAGCAACTGTTATCTAATCACAAAACTAGTTGATGGTCATGTGAAATATAAAACTGAAA